GGCTGGATTTGAACCCGCCACCTTAGGTATATGTGGCTGGTGCCTTAGCCACTTGAGCCACAGGCACTGAGCCTACATGAGATTTTCTCAGAGAAAGTATATAAACAATTTTCTCTCAAAAAAAGAAAAGGTTTTTGTTTTTAAGACAGTGCTGTGATGTCATAGCTCACAGCAACCTCAAACTCTTGGGCTTAAGTGATTCTCTTGTCTCGGCCTCCCAAGTAGCTGGGACTACAGGTGCCCGCCACAATGCCCAGGTATTTTTAGAGATGGGTTCTCAATGTCGCTCAGGCTGGTCTTGAACCCATCAGCTCAGGCAATCCACCCACCTCGGCCTCCCAGAGTGCAGAAAAAAAGGTTTGGAAAATTCCCAAATACTGTTTCTTTCTTCACAACTTTGGGGCCTTCTTTGCCCCTTTTATGTTCATTGGAATGTAACTACCTCAGAAATTAAAGCGTGTTTTGATAAAGGTGATAGAATATCAGTTGTTTTAAGACAGAATTCACATGCCACAAAATTTGCCACTTTAAAGTCTCCACTTCGGTGGTTTTTAGGTATATTCCTTGTGTTGCGCAGCCATCACCACTAAGTCCCAAAACACCATTAGTAGTGCCTGTCAGCCGTTAGCCCCAGCCCCTCTCCTTCCAGCCCCTGGTCACCACTGACCTACTTTCCATCCCTATGGATTTGCCTGTTCAAAAAAAAAAAAGTATCTGATCTGCTTTTCTGTAATGAAAATTGATCTTGTTGTATGCTTACTGCTCATTTGTGTATCTTCTTTAGAGACATGCCTGTTCAAATACTTTGTTAATTTTTTATTTTTTTTTGAGACAGAGCCTCAAGCTGTCCCCCTGGGTAGAGTTCTGTGGCATCACAGCTCACAGCAACCTCCAACTCCTGGGCTCAAGCGAGTCTCCTGCCTCCGCCTCCCAAGTAGCTGGGACCACCGGTGCCTGCCACAATACCCGGCTATTTTTGGTTGCAGCCATCATTGTTGTTTGGTGGGCCCTGGCTGGATTCAAACCCGCCACCTTGGGTGTACATGGCTGGCGCCTTAGCCACAGGCGCCGAGCCCTTTGTTCATTTTTTAATTGGCTTTTTTTTTAAGACACACTTTGTCACTCTTGATAGAGTGCTGTGGCGTCACAGCTCACAGCAACTTCCAGCTCTTAGGCGATTCTCTTGCCTCAGCCTCCCGAGTAGCTGGGACTACTGGCACCCACCACAATGCCTGGCTATTTTT